CTGGTGCTACTCACATGGCAGAAGATCATGGCTTGAGCAATGGTGATGGCCCCGTAGAGGTTACACAAGGCCTGGAACTTCTCGTCTCTGCTGCTGCACAGGACGTAGTACTGCTTGATGGTGTCCAAGGTCTCCTCCTCACGTTTCAGTTTGATAATGTTCGGCTCCGGGACCACTTTCTGGGCAAACTTCCACACAGAGTCTTCGAAGGTGGCAGAGAAAAGCAGCATCTGGCAGTTCCTGGGCAGCATCCTGCAAGGTAAGGCCCAGGCACATGGCACGAACCCGAGGTTTCACCAGGGGTAGCACAGCCTTCCAGCGTAGACGGTCCAGATCCCCAGGAAGGCTGAGGGGGCTTCAGAGGGAGGAGGCAGAGAGGAGCATCTTGGTGAGGAGGGAGCACCCGGGTGGGGTGAGAGTCCCGAGGTCTCCTTTCTCAACCTAGGCTTGGAGGGAGTATGGTCAGTGTGGACACGGAAATGGCCCATCAAACAGATCTGCGGGAAAGCATGAGTAAAGAGCCTGATGGAAGCAAGAGGCATCTGAAGTCAAGGGAGAAGATGTTGCAGGTCAGGAGGCTGGGAAGTGCCTCCCTGCTTGGATTCCTACCTCTGGATGCGGATGCTCTGATCCTGGTGACCCTGGGTTGCTATCATCACATCAGCCTCATCCAGAACGAATACCTTGATCTTCTTGGGGTCAATGAACCTGAGCTTGGAGCACCAATCCAGGACGGTCCCAGGGGTGCCAATGATGATCTGCTCACTGATCTTCTGACCTCTTTCCACTGTGGAGACCCGAGATGTTTTCCGTGGGTATTTCAATGGCAAAACCATTCTGGAAATCAAAGCCCTGCCCATTCTCCAGAACTAGTAGAAGTTAATTCTAGATTTTAAAATACACATAGATGCCAGTTACCCTCAGTCTTGGGTTTCTTCTACTGTCAGAGGTAGAATGACACCTCTCTCAGTACAGTCAGGATCAAACCCCATATAGTCCACCCTCAATTAGTGTTAGTTCCCTTCCTCTTCTTCATCCTATAATTTTTTTTTTTGAGTTGGAGTCTCACTCCGTTGCCCATGCTGGGGTGCAGTGGCATGCTCACAGCCACCTCAGCATTGATCTGCTGAGCTCAGATGATCCTTCCGCCTCAGTCTTCCAAGTAGGCAGAACTACAGGCACGCGCTACCACACCCAGCTAAGTTTTTTTATTTTTATTGTAGAGATGAGCAGTCTTGCCAAGTTGCCCAGGCTGTTCTTGAACTGTGGGCTCTGGCAATCTGCTCACCTGCTCGGGCAATCTGTGGCGTGTAGTGGCATGATCATGGCTCACCGCTACCTCAAACTGCTAGGCTCAGGTGATCCTCCAGTCTCAGCCTCCTCAGTAGCTGGGACTAAAGGTTTGCGCCATCATGCCCAGCTAATCTTTTTATTTTTTTGTAGAGATGAGGTCTCACTATATTGCCAGGCTGGTCTCAAACTCCTGGGCTCAACTGATCCTCTCTCCTCAGCCTCCCAAAGTGCTGGGATTACAGATGTGAGTCACTGCACTTGGCCTTTCTCCTATAATTGAACATCATCCAACTCTTTTTCTTTACCATTAAATTTATTCTTTTCATATCATCCATTCACTCACAGTTTACTCTCCTTCTACACTGATAGAGGATCTTAGTCCCATAATTTTTTGCTCCATTATCTAGTCTCTAGACTTTCTACTTACATAGTTTTCCTCAGTACAAACTTCTTTGATTTGAAAATCAGTACCTTACTATCAAACTACAGCTGGTGGGGGTTGACACTGATACAACCACCTATCAGAACTACTAATGCATGTACCCTTTACCAACAATTCCACTATTAGAAATTAATCCTGCAGTGGGGGTGGGATTGGCAGTAGTGGGATTCTGCTCGGGGAGAGAGGGCACACCTCATTAACAAGGGTACCTGCATAATGAACATTTGTATACTTAACCCTGAATTGTACCCCACATCTTTAAGATAAAAAATTAAAAAAAAAATTAATCCTGCAGGTATATTCATTTGTGTGAAGTAATATGTATAAGAATATGCATGCAGCAAGGAGATGACTGATTAAGTAAAATATGATCTGCCCAAAGGCTGATGCCAAGGAAGGTATGATAGTGTTTAGGAATTGATACAAAGTAATCTCCAAATGACATTATTAAAAGTGAAAAGGGAGTACTAGTTTGTATACTAGAAAGAGTGAAAAAATGTACATCACTGTTGTTGAGAAATGAGGAGAAATTTAGGAGAAATGTCCTTTCTTTAGGAATTCATCAACTATCTATAGAAAAAATTTTAAGTTAATTCTTAATTAACTAAATTACGTCTTAATTTAATTCATTCTTAATTAATTAATATCAGATGCAGTAGATCACACCTGTAATCCCAGCACTTTGGGAAGCAGAAGCAAAAGGATTGCCTGAGCCCAGGGGGTGGAGACCAGCCTGGGGCAACTTGGTGAGACCTTGTCTCCACAATAAACCAAAAAAAAAAGCTGGGAGTGGTGGCACATGCCTACAGTTCCACTACTAGGGAGGCTGATGCAGAAGGATAGCCTGAGCCCTGCAGGTCGAGGCTGCCGTAGCCATGAGCATACCACTGCACTCAAGCCTGGGCAACAGTGAGACTGTGACTCAAAAAAATAATTTTTTTTTTTTTTGAGTTGGAGTCTCACTCTGTCACCCAGACTGGAGTG